TCATCATATTCTTCCTTTAAGCTTCCTCTTCACTTTGATTCTTAAAACATCAAAATGTGATCTAGTCACATCATGTAATAAGAATCTCCAAATAGGAACTTAATAGAGTTAGATAGTGGACTTTACCTGAAGTAGAGTCAAAACTTTTGACTTTACCATCCTTACAGACTATCAGGTAAATTTGGCCAGCTTCGCAACCAATGTCCCTTCCTTTGTCAATAGAAACCTATGGACTCTTTGGGAATGGTACACGTGACTATTTCAGATTTAGCCTTTCTCTTTACCATTTGGTCAACCAAGTTGACTATGGCCGACCCATTTCCATTGGGAAGAGATAGCTTTTTTGGATTTCCAATGTTACCATTATCAATGTCCTTGGAAGTTTGGGAAGTCGATCTTCCAATAAAATTTGCTTTACCAGCGCTCCAAATAATTGCTGATTCGGCAACACCAAGCAAATAGGTAAGATTATTAAGGGTCATGTCATGGTCTGTCATATAGCAGCTCTAAAGGAACTCACTATGTGACTTAGAGAGTGATTGAAGAACCGAGTCAACAATCAACTTCCTCAAGACCTTGACACCCAACTCTCCTGGCTTGTCAATATGTGACTTCATCTCCAAGATGTGAGCACACATAGACTTTGCTTGCCAATAGGGCTTGAGTGACCTTGAACTTGTGGGTTAGGGAGAATAATTGGAGGAGGTGGAGGAAACAGATTTGCGAAGATCATAGTTGTCTGAACCAGACATCTAAAATGGGAGATATTCAAGTTAGTTGATTTAAGTCCTTAATATAACACCCAATATGAAATATTAAGGCTAGGACCCAACACAATATTTTACAACTTGGAAGAGGGATGCCGTAATCCAAACTATAAAATATTTGAAGGTAGGCGAATGACGATTCACCAATTTCTACCATGAAAAACGAAATAATTTATTAGGTTTTATTTGGTTTTGAAACTCCTAGATCTTTTGAGATTCATTGAACTTTTCAATGGCATGTTTCAATCTCGATTGTGCCCTCTCAAATTTTGTGACTGAGATGCCGAGGATCACAAAACAAGGTGTGAATAACCATGCAAATTCACTTGGTATCCTTAATATTATCACCTAATCGATGTGCCGGTTAACCACACACGCTCCATCGATCTATGATAAACATTAAGTTACCATTCGCCACTCTTACTAGTCCATGTTAGTGTGCCGGTTAACCATACACACTCCACTAACGACTTGGTAAGGTACAAAGTGTAAATTTCATAGGTTAGCACCAAATTCACATTTTTCCTAAGTAACTAAGATTAGGAATTTATAAGTGTTTAGTTACTTAGTATTTATCATTAATACTTTTAATGAAGGGAGAATTATAGTCCTGTTAAACCCGTTCGACTAACGACCCTCCACCAGTCAAGGAAGCGGTGGGTGAGAGTGGACACCCATTAAACAACCATTTTATAGGCAGTAACCTTATACCCCCCTTATAGACCGGCTTCGTGAATGAGGCCTATTAACGGTAAGACTGACTTTGTTCTTATACATATATATAACTATTAACTATTAATATTATAATAGTATAAGGGTTGAATTTTAACTTTTAAAACTCTAAGGGCTTAACTTGGAATTAAAGTATTCATGGGGGGAAACTTTACAAATTCCAAAACTTGAGGACAAGTTTTGAACAAATTCAAAAACTTTTTCAATTCCATAACTTATGAATTTAAAGTAGTTTTAATGAAAACTCTTCAAGTTCCATAACCTGAGGACAAGTTATGGAAGACTTTAAAAAACATTTAAGGAAAAAGACTCTTCATTTTCATAACCTATTAGTTTAAAGTAGTTTAATGGAAAAACTCTTCAAGTTCCATAACTTGAGGACAAGTTATGGAAGACTTTAAAATCATTTAAGAAAATAAGACTCTTCATTTTTCATAACTTATGGAAATCTTATGAGTTTTTAAAAAATCATAAATGTGACTTTTCATATAACTTGAGGACAAGTTACAAAAACACATTTTATGAACAACTTTAAGATTAATTTGGATTGAAAACAAATTATCACATAACTTTTCTATTAATCTAAACTAACTCATAAGAACAAGATAATTCAAGTCAAACAATTTTCATGTAATTAGCTTAACCACTAAACTAATACAAAACATGAATCTATTGACAATTATCTTTTGAAATTGGATTAGCATGAACATTACCACATCAAAAACAGGTTTATAAGTTGAAAAACAGCTTAGGATAATGTTCCTAGTCCAATTCCAGCCAAAACAGTCGAAGATATGCTGTCTGGGGGTCCAACTCGTCGAGTGCATGAACCAACTCGGCGAGTTGGATGAGTTTAGCCTTGGACTCGTCGAGTCCCTTCATGGAATCGGCGAGTCTGCTGCGCAGACAGCAACAAACTTCGTTTTTTCAGCCAAATTTTGCAAGTATAACAAGAAAACATGCCTTGGCTCTGATACCACTGTTGGGTTTTGGTATAATACAACATCCTATGGTGCACATACAACCCTAAATACCTTGGATCTATGCTTTCACTAATTATACATGCAAATGGTTTCCAAGGTATTGAACCTATAGCTAGCATGCAATTGTCATACAAACTACATAAAATACTAGATAGAGTAACATACCTTTTGTGTGGCTGGAAGTCTTGATGTATTTGGCCTTAAGAACTTAGCCCCAATAGTGTGGAAGCCTCAAATGAAGTCACAACACATCAAGGACAAAGGTAGGACTTGAGAGAGAATCTCCATGCACTCTAAAACCTTCATGAACTCCAAGAACATGCACACACACTAGTGGTTGCATTTTTTAGGTCATAACATATGTATTTATATGTGTTGAATTCTAAGAGTCATGGGTATAACCCAAACCCATATCCATGGGTTTTATGATCCATGGTTCATGTGGCCCAACTCTTTATATATCCATACATAAACTTGGTCCAACATGGATCATAAGCCCAACACATATAAATATAACTAATTACCATAATTAGTCCCCATAATTTTAATTAGTCTCTTTTAATCACTAAATTAATTTCAAATTAATTCTTGATCAATACTAATTAAAACATATGATTTCATATTAATATATTAGAACTTATAATATATTAATAAATCATATATAACCTCTTCTCTCAAAAGTCCATCCTAACAAATTGTCCTGATGATATGCAACCCAAATGGACCATGCTACTCTCGGGTCGAATACATACCAATAATAGTTATGGGCTTAGACACCTAATCCAACAAATTATCCGATGGAGTCAAAATGAGAGTTGTAGATCTTGTCAATACCTGCGTGTGGGTATAAATAACGTCGAAAACGGAGCTCGTATGCGAATGTTACGAAACTTAGAAGTCGGGAGGGTGCTGCTGCGAAAGGGGTGACGTGGCTTAATCCGTACCATTGCTTTCTCCCCAAGCCTTGCCACCAAAGGGTGACATGTGGCACCAACTAATAAAAAATAGTCGTACACTCAACAAAATCAACAGAACAAACAAAACGAACAAAACACAAAAAATGACTAAGCTAACAATACATAAATAAAAATAAATGTTTTTTTTGTTAATTTAATATATATATATATTATTTTATTTTTTTTAATGAAACAAAACCAAAAACAAACTAAAAATGGCAACAAAAAATTAAACAACCGAATTACTCTTCAACCAACTTCAAACGAAGCCAACGTCACTTCCTCATTTTCTTCTCCAAAATGGCGTTTTACTTGTTTTTTCACACACAATATTTTTCCGTTTTTCTCTTTTCAAAATATTATTGCATAGTCATGTCTCATCCCAAAACTTTTGAAATTTTGTATTTTTCAAGATTTTGCATTTTAAGCTCGTTATGTTTCAAAAACTGCTTCAGTTTTTTCTTCCAACCTTCTTCAAGTGTTCTAGAGGGCGCTTCACTCTAAACATATGTCTATTCAGCTGGCAACACTCTTCCAGTCACACTATCCTTCACTTCAAGGTTCTCTTCCAGATTCACTTTTTGTTTAACCTTACACTCTCTCTTTGGCTCGTAGTGTTAAACGCTTGAGGAAGAGTGGTGGGTTCCGAGTTTTGTGGATATGGGAAGTGGGAACCATGGCCATCCATTGGGCTGTCCACCATAAGTGAGATGCACCTACTGTTGGGCCACAGACAAATTGGGCCAGCGCTGCTGCTGAGAAGAGTGTCCAGTAGGTGTTGAGTTGGGCCAAGGGGCGATTGCGCTGAAGGAAAAGGCAGCGGCCCATGCTACTGCTGTGAAGAGTGAAGGATACATAACCAAATCAATATATGAACTCAAGTTTATATAATCTTTAATTATGTCAAGGACTTCACCCCAAATTCCTAAACAAACATGCTCAACCTTCAAGCTTGTTAATTTTTACCGAGTGGCAATCAAATTGTCCATGGAGAAATTACGAGATAAAGTTTGTAAAGGAACTCGAAGCCTATAGAACCCTTAAATTAACTTCTTTGGTCATACACTCATACCCAATAGTTTTAAGCTCTGAAAATGTGGTACATGAAGAATTGTGTTCATAATTTACCCTTTCATTTTTATCTATGCATTAAACCAAAATCGTAGTTCATGGGGATTTGACACGAATGGTTACGATGGAGAGAAGAAACCAGACACATAAAGGTGACATGGATGTCTAAGTTAAAAAGATAAGACCAATAAAAAAATGTACTAGATTTTGGTAATTAAATTTTAAAGGACTATGTATCGGTAAAAAAAATCTATCGGTAAATACTTTTAGAAAACTCCCATACCATCAAGCTCATATGTATGTTAGGTTTTTAACTTTTAACCCATCGAATTTAAGATTAAAATCGCACATATATATATATATATATATATATATATATATATATATAATATATATATATATATATATATATATATATATATAAAACTCACAAAATACAGATTAGACAAATAAACCTTTTAATATATCATACAAGAATACTTGATATGTCAAATTAGTACAATAAAAAATACATGGAATTAGTGGTATACAACTCATTATAAACATTATTATTAATGATTTCTGCACTTATAATGGCCTATAGAATTAAGTATTAAGTAACAATCAAAAAACAAAAGAATTTTCGTGTAGAACAACAAAAGATTTGAGATTAAATGACTTTGATTCCGCTAGGTCGTTTTCCTTCCATTGCATCTTTTTTATCCCGACAAGCAACACAGAGAAAAGGACCCTGTCGACATGGTTTTGAGCTTGCATGAACTGATATAACACCTTCGCTTGCAGCTACGTCGACTTGACACACCGCACACATGAACAGTCCAGATGTGTTTGACTTATCATCATTCCCCAATCTACATGTTTCAAAAACAAAATCAAGATCGCCATTAATGATCTAAAACCCATAGAAGAAACAGTAGTTATCATATATTCATATAAAATATAGTTGACCTTTCTGCAAGCATCGCTGAACCTTCTTCAAACAGTTCCTCTACGATTCCTACAGCCGACAGTTTCTTCGATAATTTAGTAGCAGAACCACGGAATTTGGTTCGTAGCAACATCGATCTGAGCTTGCTCTGTGGTTTACGCGGAGGAGAAGGTGGTGGGAGTGAATTATCCGGCGGAATTATGTCGACAACTATGCACGTTGTATCGTCTTTTAGTCCCCTTGTTCTTAATGCTTCCTATATAAATCGTAAAATTAGAAATCTGTTTTTGAAATTCGTGTTCCATGCGGAAAAAAGAAGACGATTACCTTCACTACTTGCCTAGCGGCAAGTTCAGACGGCAAACGGCGGCAAGATCCGGCGGCTGCTTCCGACGATAAAGCATCCCAAATACCATCTGAAGCGATTATAAGCCTTCCACCACGATTCGAAAGCTTTATAAACCGGAAAAATAACACTTATAAACGGAATCTTTAAAGAAAAAGGAAATCAGAAAACAGAGAGTGATTGTTTGTTTACCTTCACTTGCTTCACGTGAGGTATCGGAACGATAAATTCGCCGACATCCATGTCGCCGATGGATCTAGAAAGACATAACCCACCTGGCCAGCAACGAAGGGGTCCAATCTGACAAAATTTCAACAGAATCCATCAGGAAATGAAGCTAATTAATGATAGAAATTGATCATTTTCTTTGACTTTATAAAGGTCAAACCTCAGGGCCACCGATAACGTTGAGCCTCCCTACTTCGCCTCCACTTGCTGTTACACGTTCCCTTCTACAAATCGCATTTTGAAATCAAACCCATGTTTCCTATCAAGAAATAAGTCTGGGAATTTGAAAAAAGACATTCTACTCACTCTTCGGTGTTTTCTTCAAGCCTATGGTCAACGGTTAAGACAGATACAACTCCATCGGGGGTATCAAGAATGCAACGAGAGTCTCCCACCGAAGCAACTGTTACTGTCCATTCATCGATAATCACGAATGTAGCAGTTGTTCCTGATGTTAGACCTGTTGAATAGTCGATGAACAGATTAGTGTTTATACAAGAAGTTGGATCATTGATGTGTGTGTGTGTTTGTTTCTGCAAAGTTCTTCGTACCTTTGCTTTGAAATTGCTTATCCGTTTTGACGAAACCAGCGACCAAAGCTCTAGGTAAAGCCTGAAGCCATTCATGGCGTCCAAGACCACGAGGTATGGCGTCCAAGACGTGATTAAAAAGATGATCTTTCGAATATATTGCTGCAGCGTCCCCATTGTGACCATCAAAAATCTGGAAATTTAAACGAAATGTTTGACTGATATTTGATTCGATTCGGTTACAGAAATCAAAACCCTAATCGTGAAAGATAGAAATACGATCGAAGCACCAAAGTATTCAAAATATTTGATTGAGTGATTGTAAAATTTAGCATCACGTACCCCAAAAACAGAGAAAGTCGAAGAAGGGTTTTCATCAAGTCCCTGACAATCCGTCTTCATCAAGAAGTAATCTTCGCCTTTTCTCGATTGAGCAGCACATCCGAATCTCACAGATGGATTCTCCATTTTTTCACTTTTCAATTCTCTACTCATCAGTGCAGCTAAAGAGACATAATCAGGGTGATGTTGATGACTCTCTACCCTCGACCCCATACTTATAATCGGAAATCTCTTTCTTCTCCGGTTTGAATTTACAGAAATTCCCCCAAATTTTCAACTTTTAATCATCACATTCAAAATTTCCTACCACAAACAAAATTCGGCCTGATGAATGTTTAATTTACACCTTATGTTGGTGTAAGAACAGATCAAAAACCAACATACGAGAAGTATAATAGAAATGAAATCTGAGAGCAAAACTGTATCGAAATGAAAGAATTTATATGATAGTATAGAGGAAACTTGCGAACAGGTTAACTGAACTTCGAGATCCCGGAATTCTGCAACAATGCTAAACACCCACAAGAATTCAATTGAAAACAATATGAAAACAAAATGCAGATCTGATAACAACTGGGGAGCCGACAATTGTACTAGGAAAAAGAACAAGAACGAAGAAATCGTCAAAAATAGGAAAAAACAACGCGGAATGGCTGACAGCTATGAACTTGAAATCAATTCCCCCAATCATTTAAACCTTATAAACGTCAGCACTCTAGCTGTATTGACCCAAATTCCATATATATGTATACGAACATTAAAGAGTATTATATGTATAAATATATACGTATATATATAAATTAATTAGAAGAAACTGAAAAACCCAGGTCAGAATGTCAGAAGAGGAACATCCACATCCACCACACCAGACAGCGAACGGAGATTTTTTAAAAGGAATTATCTAATGTTTTTATTTTATTTTATCTGAAAAATAATAAGATTAAAAGAAAAAGAAACTACACTGAAAATTCCCCTTGATTCCAGCCTTTTTAATTACCGACTTCTTCAAATTTGATTTGTGTGCATAACCCATCGAAAAATTAGGTTTCAAAAATGTCGGTTTAGTGGCATATTAGGTTTCATAAAACTAAAAGATACCTCAATGTTGAATTTTAGATGTTCTTTAGATTAGGGTAAAAGGAGTAGGACGGTATGCCTACGCGGCTTGTCAATGTCGAGTAGCACACCAGCACTAAAAAAATATAGTTAGTAAAAGTTTGATAAATGACTTAAGTATCGCTAAATTAACAAAATCACATAATTTAATTGATAAGATATTAAACTAAATAGCTAATATATAACTTTGCATTAAAAGATTACCTAGATACTTTGTTGCTAAAATCATATAATTTAATTGATAAGATATAGAATATCATGATAAAAAAAAAAGAGCAATTATGTCCATAAAAAATGATTGTGAGACAAAAGCCTTTGGTCTAACCATAAGTGACTTGTTTGCCACTAAAATAAGGGACAATCGACCCAAATACAAATGCAAATGTTAAATGGTAACACTACCTCATAAGAGCTTGAGGATCCCCATATCCTACCAAATCTTCCACCTAAACTCGGGGGGGGGGGGGGGGGGGGTGGGTGGGTGGGTGGGTGGGTGGGGTGGGGCTTCTCTACGACCAAGGGTCTTGGTTAGGGATGAGCATTTTGACCGGGGAACCGGATAGAACCGATCGAGGCCTGGACAGGGACAATATTCTTGTAGATTTTTGGAACCGGCAAAAACCGAAACCGTATGTTGCTATTTCTTGAGGACCAGTTCTAACATTGAAGAGACGACAAGAACCGGTAGGAACCGGGAACCGGTACAACCGGCGGTCCGGTTCAGTTTTTAATTCCGGCCGACTTCAGTTCCCGGGTCCGGTCCGGTTCGGGCCTGTTCTAGCCGGGTCGGTTCCTTTGCTCATCCCTAGTCTTGGTCATGATACAAACCAAAATCTTGTATTTTACATATTCATACAACTGAGTCATTGGGTTTCCGAAAAAATGTAAAAAGAGGTGCTTAAAATCATTGTTATTTCACTCGGACCTGTTCTAAAAAGTCGACGTATTTCGAATTGTTTGTTGACACACACAAAATATAGATGATAAGTTCATAACCTAAGCCAATTACCATTTTGGGAGGAACAGATCAACTAATTCTTTGGTTCCAGTTAGTAAGAGGGATCTTGAACTAAGAAATAAACCCTGGAAACTAAAAAAATGGCATCCTAAGCGATTGCAATAATCGGATTCATTGATATTCCTAGTATAGCAGACGCTATATCACATACAATCATACTCGATTCGATAGAATTGTTTGATCTTAAATGAGATCTTCTATAATTTCGCACGTGAGGGGTTATTTATTGGTTTCGTCACGTCATTAATAACTTGATTATTTTTAGATAATAGTAGAGAAACAACACTTGTAACAAGTCATATTAATCTATCTAATGAATGGGGAATCCGCTTTAAAACTGTTCGCCTTGCACCCAGTGGCGGAGCCACCTTAGGACCAGGGTAGGCCCAGACCCACCCTCAAATTTTCATGTTTGTTTTTTTTTTGTATTTAGAAATAACATATTATATAGGTGCAAGTTATTTGAAAATCTTTTGTAGATCAGTTGGCAAGCAAGGCGTATTCTAATCTATGGCTTTACATTTTTTTTTAAGTAATTCATTTTTAAAGTTACATTTTGGCCCTCATATTTATAAGTTAAATTCTTTTAGTAACCTAGTTTTCAAAATTTACGTATGTCACACCTCAAATTTTATAAATTTGTATAATTCCATTTTTAGTTAATTTAATTTAGTTTTTAGTTTTTTTAGATTTATTTTTCTTATATATAAAAAAATTGTATTTAGAGGTCATTTTCACTTTTCGCATAGGCCTTTAAAAGAGAAATTAAATATCCTCCTACTATTTGTTCCTACATATCCTTCTATCCAATGAAATGATGACATGGGTAAACATTTAATGTTCATTTAATGATATTTTAGGATACTAATATGACACATGTCATCATTTAAATGGGTAGGAGGATTAGTAGGATCAAAAGGTAGGAGGATATTTAATTTCTCCCTTTAAAATCAACGGACAAGCTATATATATATATATATATATATATATATATATATATATATATATATATATATATATATATATATATATATATATATATATACTAGCAGCTTACCCGCGCTAAGCGACGGGTACAAATCGTTCTTTTAGAAATTAGTTTCTAAAGCCGATTAGTTCTTTTGCACAAATAGTTTACTACATCTAAACAATTATCAACAAAAGTCATGCTAGCAAAAACAAAATAATATTTATTAAAAATGAAAATTTGAGATTCTTTAGATATGTACATGAACACATGATTGATTGTGCATTATTAATCATGCAAGTCTTTTAAATATATCACATTTTCTTTATAGACTTCATTATCGTTGAATTGTTCGTCAACGTTCACTAATACTTTTGTATTGGCACGTGATATTCTTTAGGATAATGTTATATAAAGTTGGTAATGCGAGAAAGCCGATTCTGAATAAATAAAAACTTTTTTCATTGATTAAACCTAAAAAATGGTTTTATGGAATTTGATCCGGCGTCTAAAAGGATGTCTTTATACTGAGTGAATTGCATTTTTCGTTGATTATATACAATGGGAGGGAATATTTGTAATTTTGTATTATGTTAAATTGAAAATATTTATGTTATATTATAAAAAAATGTTTTATAATTATCAGTGTTTTAAAATCCAAATCGTCATGTTCGGTCGAACCGATTGGCCTAAGGAGAAGCGGGCCTTTGCCTATTTTCCATTCGGAATGACCCAATCGGATTTATAAAAAAAAAATAGGTTGAGTCAATGACAATTAACCCGGTAAAACCCGGTTAATATTAAAATCTGTAATAATTTGATTAAGTCTAATTAACATCATCCGTTCACACACAAATGGTAAAAAATTCAAAGATCAATGAAGATCATACGGATTCAACAGTCGTATAACTAAATATGGATAGACGAACGTCGTTCATTAGTCCAATAGTACTTCAAATTTCATGGTTGAGCTTCTGAAGTTTGATCCGCCGCTTTGCTCTATACGGTCGCATCAAGGTTTTAACAATGAACATGTCCATAAACCAAACATTTTTTATGATAAATTACTGATTGACATTTAAAATAATTGTTCTAGCACAACTAATATGAAAATGTACATAGGGAAATAAAAGGAGAAATATATTCAAGATTCTTTTAGATCATTGTTTATTGATCATCATTTTACCAGAAACACAATCCTCTCAAAAGTATTATGAACGTCTTTTGTTGTTTATCAACTATTATTTTTCATTTGTTTACAATAAAAAAGCATTTTCACTATTGAATACATATAAATAATATATAGGAAAATATTTGTACCATAAACAATGATCGAGAATGATGATTTTGGGCAAGGCTTAATTAGCTTGATTCTTCCTGACAAACATCAACAAAAACAAACAAAAAAGCAAAAAAATATCATATTTATAACAAAATAAATAAGATATTTATTGACACATGCCTACTTGATAAGTGCTCTCTGAGAATGTCATTAGACATGAATTCATAAACTAAAATTTTGCAATGCAATCATAGGCCAAAATCAATGATATATGTATTGTGTGTGTATCACAAAAGTATTAAAAGGTAATTTACAGGCTTGGCTTATTCATTGCATAATCCAAGCAAATAAACCAAATCTGCAATGCCAAAATCCAATGTTATAAACTAAAATTATGCAATGCAATCATTGGCCTAGGATCTACATCACAACCTTAATTCAACACAAAAACTCTCAATTTAGTAGGGATATAGTTGTCATTAGAACCTTTAGATGCTCCCCATAGCCTGGAAAAAGCACATTGGTAGAATTGGCTTCTGGAAAGCCACAACATCAGTACCCTTTCAGAAAAGGCAACATAATCACTCGATCCATTATCATCAAGTGAATAGGAGACTATAAATTATTTCATAGTCCTTATTAGCTACTACACCCACTAATCAAATTACTTGAAAAAAACCTAATAATTACTCATAAAAGGTATTTCTTGCATATAGCCCTAAAATGGGAACTCGAATAGCTAAACACAAACCTTTTAAATATGTGTAGGTTCCAATGTCATCACCACCCTTTATACCTTTTGCTTTGCCTTTTGCACTACCATCCTCACTGCCACTTGCATGATTTGCTTTTCCGTTTATGCCCTTTGGATCGTTTCCAGTTTCACTTTGCTTGGTGATAGAATTTAGCTAAAATCAACAAAACATTCTCCAAGTCAATCAAACTGCCAAAAAAATCAAAAGAAGGTTAAAATCATAAAACAGTAAAACTTACTCATCAATTGCCAAAAAAAACCATTTTCACCATCTGTAGAGGATCAATAAACGAATACGACATCAACAAAGAAAATTACAAAATATAGTTAGGGCATACAAATAAACTTGTGTTTATTGTCATTTATGACTTTATATGAACACCTAAGAACCAAAAAAGGGTAATCATATACATCCCAACACACACCCATATTTGAAAATAAAATCAACAAAACAACTTGAAAACACTAACTTTGAAAAAAAAAATCTGAACTTCCGCAATACGAATAATGATTGTTGAGAGGCCTTTAAATTCTTATACCTTATTTGTTTGCAAACCAACATGAACAAGGTTATTGGATGATTTCATCTTGTTATCAACTGGTTTGTGCAGAGTATCCAGACTTGCACATGATTCACTAAATTTATAACCAAATAAATACCTCTTAAAATAATCATTTTAGTAATTTTGTAAAAATATAATAACTATCAAATGCTTTAAGTATCATAAACTTACAACAAAAAGAACAAAGGCATCAAGAAAATCAAGAAAATCAAACATTGAAGTACATGTAAACAAAAATAAAATAAAATAAAAATTGTTAGCATATATTCATATTGTATTTACTATCTGAGAAGTGTTAATGTTGGAAAATCTGCTTGGAGAAAAAAAATTGAATCGGTACATCCAAAAACATATAGAATCAATAAAATCAAAAACAATTTTGGAGAATCAATTAGCTTTCTTACCTGGTAAATCTGCAAGAAGGAAACATAAACATGTTTTAGACCATAATGCCCTTTATTTTGAAATTCACCCCAAAACTTCAAATTATCACATTGAGTCCTTCTCATTCATTTAACCAAAATTTCAAGTCTCTCCATTTATCCCCACTGAAAAAAAAAATCCATTTATCTCCGCTACTATTAATTAAAAAAAATAAAGCTTATTTGATATATCTTAACACAAACATAAAAGGATTTCTTTAAAAGAAGAAAATTCAAGTATAAAATGAAATTTGGAGAACTTACAGCTTCAATTATCAAATTATATCGAATATGCAACTATTATGCAGACCCTATTCAAATTTCAAACATGAGAGCATCTTGACATAGCTCACATTTACAGTTTGTTGGATTTTCATAAAAAAAAATTAAAACCTTCATTCATGCATTATATCAAACACCTGGGGTGTGTGTTATGCAAGTAATAAAGAAACACCAAATTACAACCACAATCGCATACACAATTTCAGATACAAACACACAACAACACACACACAATCATATTAAATATAACTTACTTTGGTTGAAAAGGTTTTGATTCTGATTTTTTTTCTTCTTACGTGAGAACGGATTTGGAGGCAGAGCAAGAAGAACCATCTCAAGAAGCATTTGTATTGGAACCATATTGACAAAAAACAAATTATTTCTTTCAAATCGTGTTCAAATCAAAATGAATATATGGGCCAGAAACGTTGGGGAGGAAGCATAAATGAGAAAAGGTGAGGATGGCAATGGTAAATGGTGGTGTGTAAGTGTGTTTCTGTTCCTGTTGGGATGTGGTGATGGAAAATAGAAAGGACGTTTTAGGGTTTTTATTATATAGAGGAAGGGCAAGAGAAAAAAAAAGGTGGTGAGTGTGGGGGTAACAACAATTGACAAAATTAATGAACCAAACATGGGAAATAGGATAACGACAATAATAAAGAAAGTAAAAAAGATCAAACCTGGTGGTCGATTTGAACCATTCCTGCTCTGGATTGAATAATCAAAATAATACAGATTTTCATTTAGAGCTCGTACAAAAGGTGAAAAAATCAAGCAGAAAAAGTCACAAACAGATACACAAAAATAGAATCTGCAACATATTTGAACTTGATAACAAACTTTGCATACCTTTGTTCCCAAAGAAGCATAAAGAAGTTGAGAAAATCTAGCAGGTTACCGAAATAGGTTTTACCTGTAGCAATTAGTGGCGGTTTTGATGGTATTTTTTCTGTTCGTGGTGGTTGATTGCTATGGAAACAAAGGTATATAGGTTTTCTTTAGGGAGAGACACAGGAGGTGGTGAGCGAGTATAATGCTGTTGCGAGTTGCTGAAGAGAGATAGGGAAGAGAATGAGGGGAGCAAGTCTTTAAATCGGCCGGAAGAGAGATATTGAGGAAGATGGCCCGGAATGGAGAGTAACTTGAGATGGAGATGAACAGTTTAACTAAGGAGATGAATAAGGCCTGATATATAGGGGAAGATGGCTAACACTGAGAGATATTTGCCGGGATTTCATGCTTCAAGAGACTCGATCAAGGATAAAATGACCAAGTCAAAAACCTGCGAGAGATAAGGAAAGCGGCCAGGTTTAAAGCCGATTTAAGGTCTACAATGCATAAATTTGTTGTACATGATGCATAAAAGGGTGTACCTCTTAAAATTCAGCAAAACATGTTAAATGCTTATTAAGGTATATATATATATATATATAATATATATATATATATATATATATATATATATATATATATATATATATATATATATATATATCAATTATTTTAAAAGGACCACCGTAAAAAAAAAATTGGCTCCGCCCCTGCTTGCAACCACCCCCGAGTATATGCTTCACTGGGAATCATACAAGGTTAGTTTATAACTAATAAAATGATCACCCGTAACCCAACATATAAAGTATATTACATAGAATTACATAGTCCGTTTTAAAGATTTGTAACTTACCCATTTAGTAACTTTGGCATTGGATGTTCCCAAAGTCACTAGACGTTCCCCAAACATGTACAGGTCGGATGAATTCAATAATAGACGTCTATTGGTATTTCAACCTTCCTTCGCATTTCTTGACCACATATCTTACCAACTAAGGAATGATAAATCCTTCTCGTGTTCCACATATTATTATATATATATTAAAGTTGTGGAAGAAAGGAATAGTAAAGTTGGGGTACTTTGTCCAGGTTTGGTCCCTTGATTTACATATTCGGTCCCTGTACTTCTTAAATTAATTTATTCATGTCCTTTTGTTTGTGTTCCATTCAACTTCTCATTTTTTTGGCAGAATTGGTTCCTGTATTATTATTGGAAGTTAGGAATACTAAATTTGGATGTTTTTTGGCAACTTTGGTCATTATTCTTTACCCATTTTCACACTTTTGGTCCTTGCAATCAATATTTTTACACTTTTTTGGAACCTTTTAATATTTAAAGTTTGGCCACAAAACTTTAACGGTTTGACAACTTTGATCCCTTTTCTAAAAAGTTGTTAATTCCTACCCCTTTAATTCTTTAGCCATTTTCACACTTCTGGTCCTTGCAGTCAAAACTTTTACATTTTTTGTCCGGGGCAAAGCCCGGACTTTTCATCCTTGCACTTTCTATGTCTGTCATATTTATCAATTCGGAAACAACATTGAAAGCTTCTGGCCCCCGCGTAGCGGGGGTAACCTTTCTAGTTATTAGTATTAATATTATAATTATTTGATATTGTTTTATTATTATAAAACTTATTAGGACAGACAATGTTTATTATAAGATGTTAATACTATTAATAACAATATAAGTAATTTTAATAATGATATTATGTTAATATCAATAATATTCAAGATAAGGATAATACCTCCTTAAACTTTTTACTACAAGTTCCGCAAGAAAATTTGAGCTGTAGCCTCACGAACCCAGTTGACATAATTTGGTTCATCAGATGTTGTTTGCCACTTGGTCTCAACCTAAAAGTTATGATTGCAACCTTTTGTTTTAATTGTTTTGCTGACTGTTGTAACTGCTATAAATATACAAAACCAAAATTAATATGAAATAAATGGTCATAAACTATCCTTTCTCTTTTCACCCTTTTCAAAATCAAATTCGTACAAAGGGGCTCATAAACTATCCTTTCTCTTTTCATTAATGGTTCTCTTGAGTTCTGAAATTAATATAGAGGCTACTTGTTTACCGAAAGTAGAGATCTAGACATCCCAAAATGACCCCATGATTCCAAGTCTATGAGTTTGTTTTATAACTTAGAGAGATGTTATGTAAATTACTATATATGCTGGTATTTCAAAGAAAATATTAATATTTCAGACGAATTTCTTAAGAAATATTTTTCCTAAGAAATTATAGGAAACTTATTTCCAAAGAATTTTCTAGAATTTTCTAGGACTATAATTTGTTGACAAATACATATGGTGACGAAAAGGTTCACAGTCATTTCTTTGGAATTTCTAAGGAGATGTGCACCATTAAAAAAAAATTTAACTTTAGGAAATCCCTGAGAATTTCCAACACATTTGTGAGAAAATTGATTTCTATGTTTTTATCTCTACGTCTACTATTATAATTATTATTTATAGTGTGTGTATAATTATTATGTACAATATTACACTTAATATTATAACTATTTCATATCGTTTTATTATTGTGACTATTATTATTATTATTATTATTAGGAAATCCATCATAACTAATTTTCTATACATTTACAGGGAAATTGATTTTCAATTTATATTTTTTATAATAATAACTAGTGAATAGACCTGTGCGTTGCACGGGTCGGAATTTTTTCTCTATGTTTGGTGAGTCACGAAAGTAGGACGCTATAATTGGCTGAATATGAAAGAAACGAGCCGAGCCGAGCCCGAGCCCGACCAGGCTCGGCTCGGGCTCGTTTAAGTTATATGAGGCTCGAGCTTGAGTTCGGCTTGATTCGAGCTTTCTTTTACTGAGCTCGGCTCGAGCTTGTAAAAAGTTATACAAGCTCGGCTCGAGCTCGGGCTCGACTCGTTTTTATCTGACATGTCTAAATAAGCTTAAGCTCGACTCGAGCTCGTTAAAAAGCCCGTTTACTAATACCCTAAATTCATAATTCCCCTAATATGTTTTTATTTTAATATATATAAATAATAAAAATTTATATTATATAAAGGCTCGTTTAGGCTCGCGAGCCTAATCGAGCTTAGTGACATAGGCTTGAGCTCGAGCTCGTTTAATAAACAAGCTTAATATTAAGCTCGAGCTCGGCTCGGGCTCGTTTAAAATCGGTTTTTAGTCGAACTTTTAACGATCCGATCTCGAGTAGCTCGCGAGTAGCTTGGCTCGTTTGCACCCCTAGAAAGAACGATGCTTAAAAAGCCCAGGCTTCGCCCCGGGCTGGGTTTTTTTCTTATTAGGACATTGTATTTTGAAAAAACCCAATTATAAGTTAATTACTATAACAACCTCATGGGCGTAGCTAAGCTTCAACAAGGTAGGTCCTAGGACCTACCTTTTTTTTTAAATACAACAAATATATATAGAAAATATGAAGGACCTATCTCATTTTTGCTAAAAGACCCACCTATTTTTGCTAAAAGACCTAA